GTTCCTTTTGCTAGTTTTTCAGCAGGACAATGCTAGACCACATACGGCACGTGTTGCTATGAACTGTCTGCAAGCTTGTCAAACTCTTCCTTGGCCTGCTCACCAGATCTCTCTCCCATCGAGCATGTCTGGGATATGATGGGAAGGCGATTGCATCTGGCACGGAATATTGATGACCTCGTTCGACAATTGGATCGAATTTGGCAGGAAATACCGCAAGAGACCATCCGGGATATCGGTCTATGCCACGCCGTGTGACAGCTTGTATCCAGGCAAGAGGCAGGTCAATACCTTATTGAACTTGTTACTGTAACTCTGCAATAAATTATTCAATTGTTCTGAAATTTTAATCATTGAAATTTTAATCATTTTGTCTTCCTATCCACCAATTTTCGTTTCAATCGGACAATTCCTTCTTGGTGCGTCGATTTTTTTGTTATAGAGTGTATTTGTTCTCCTTCAATAGAATGAGTCCAAACACGAATCAAAAGAGTTAATATTTTAAATCTAATATTTTAAAAGTTCTTTTTTTTTTGTATAAAATGTACTTTTTTCGAATTGCACTTATAAAGAAAAACTTTATAACTTCAAAACATTCTGTTTTATCGACTAATGGTAGTGAACTAAAGTAGAGTTTTTTTAAACAGATTTTAAAAAAAGAAAAAAATTATTACAATTTACGAAGTTAAGCACACGTCTATAAGACCTGATATGTATCTGTTTAAATTACTTGCTTTTAGTGGTGGACAAAATTCCTTTTATTCTATAGTAAGAGTATAGTATTTTTTATTAAAATATAAATACTATACTCTTGCTTTCTTTCCGAAAAATATTTTCTGAAACTACAGAGAATCGAGTCTCTGACACAATAATGATTAGTTTGTAATTAAGAACTTAAGAGCTTATTTTACTCCTTACGAAAGCTAGCTATAATTGAAATGATTTTGTTATCAGTTTCTTTTTTTTTTCCATTTTACTTTCAGCCCTGGTGTTTTCTTACAACTATTTTTGTGAGGAATTTTGGGCAAGAATCAGTTTATTTATTTGTTTGGGCTGTAAAAGTTAAATTTAAAAAAATTTCTAAGATTTTAAGCAATGTAATAATATTAGCCGAAGAAAATGACTACGACAACTTAATAAATTTGTGTTCACCACTATAGGTAACTATATGAAAATTGTCCTCTATCATACTCCTAATTGTCAAAATAATATCTTAAAAACGTAAATTTCTACTAGGGCTAGCGAGAATTTACTACCAAAGTTAAATTTTTCTAAGACTAGTGGAAACACTGAGTAAATTTTTTATACTTCTATTAATTATTCTTACTTTATTATTATTAAGTTTTTATTATTATTTCTAAAACATCAAAATGTTTTTTTAAAGATGTTTTTATACAGTTTGACGAAGAGGAGGAACCAAAGTTTTGCAATAGAATTGAAAGTGCTCGCATAATTCCTTCAAAGATGTATTGTCCGAGTATATGACTTAGGTAAGAGAAAAAAACTGACATCATAAGTTTGAAAAGAAAATGACTGAAATTAGAAATGACATAGAAAAAATTACTTTCACGTTAAAAATGACTTAGATATTAAAAATTACTTTGAAATCAAGAATGACTTTGAAAAAAAAATGACTTCGATTAATTTGCGTCCACCGCTATATGTGTAACTACATAAAAATTGTTCCCTGTCGTGCTTCTAATTGTTAAATTAATATCTTAAGGAAGTAAATTTCTACTAGGATTAGCAAGAATTTGCTACCAAAATTAAATTTTTCAAAAACTAGTGGAAACAGAGTTAGTTTTTTATTCTTCTATTAATTATTCCTACTTTATTATTATTATCAAGTTTTCATTCTTATTTCTAAAACGTCAGCATGTTTTTTAAAAATGTTTTTATACAGATTTTACTCTGTTGGGGGAATAAATCTCATAGAGAGTCAGTGGGTAATGTCTCCTTAAAAAAAATTCCTCGGTTAAAAATTTATATATTTTTAATCAATTATAAAATAAAACAAACTAAACAATAATGGGCGTCACAAGGGTCCATTTTTGAAATGGACGAAATTGAAATGCACAATCACAACAACCCTCTAAATTTCTCACATAAAAATAAAATTCTTATGTCGGCTAAATATTTGTAAAAAGATTAATTACTTTTATCTCTTTCTCGTGATTGATGCATTTTAATCAATGATGGTTCATATTTTTTTTTATTTGATTGAAGTATTGAGGGGAACTTTTAGAGATTTCTAATTATTGAGGGGTACATATACTCCCCGTTCCCACCGTAAACGACGCTCATAAAACAAAATAAATATCTATTTTAATATAATTTTTCATATAATTTTTTAAACAGAATAATAAACTTATGTACATATTTAAAAATACAACAAAGTAAAACAACTCCTCTCTTCTATGAAATGTCTATATTGCTATAATTTTTACTTTATTATGCGAAGAAATCGTGGTTTGATTGCTTCTTGAAAGACACTTGTATTTTTATAATCAGTTCTTAAGGACTGATNACTCTTCCTCTTTGTGAAAGATATAAGAATGATTTGATGGAGGGGGGAGATCTAAATTTTTTCTGAATAAGCAAGTGAGGTATTTTTTTTTTTTCTAATATCATTTTTCAGGCTGAATTAAATGAGACTAATCCCGATTAATGGATCGGATTGATAGTATAGAAATTATAAACGTGTTTTACAAGTGGCAAGTTTGTAAAAATTTTAAGTTATAGACATATACGAAATGCATCAAATTGGGTACTTCTTTTTTTATTCCTCTTATTTGCATATTTTCAATGTTATACAGATAAGTGAAGTATTGTTTCCTTTTTATTTTTTCTCCTTCAAAAGAATGAGTCCAAACACGAATCAAAAGAATTAATATTTTAAATCTAATATTTTAAATTTTTTTTTGTATAAAATGTACTTTTTTTGAATTGCACTTATAAAGAAAAACTTTATAACTTCAAAACATTCTATTTTATCGACTAATGGTAGTGCACTAAAGTAGAATTTTTTGAAATAGATTTTAAAAAAAAAAATTATTACAATTTACGAAGTTAAGCACTCGTCTATAAGACCTTATATGTATCTGTTTAAATTACTTGCTTTTAGTGGTGGACAAAATTCCTTTTATTCTATAGTAAGAGTATAGTATTTTTTATTAAAATATAAATACTATACTCTTGCTATCTTTCCGAAAAATATTTTCTGAAACTACGGAGAATCGAGCCTCTGACACAATAATGATTAGTTGTCAGACTAATCATTATTGTCACTACTAATCAATTAAGAACTTAAGAGCTTATTTTACTCCTTACGAAAGCTAGCTATAATTGAAATGATTTTGCTATCAGCTTCTTTTTTTTCCCATCTTACTTTCAGCCCTGGTGTTTTCTTGCAACTATTTTTGTGAGGAATTTTGGGCTAGAATCAGTTTATTTATTTATTTGGGCTGAGAAAGTTAAATTTAAAAAAATTTCTAAGGATTTTAAGAAATGTAATACTATTAGTCTAAGAAAATGACTTGGACAACTTAATTAATTTGTGTTCACCACTATAGGTACCTATATGAAAATTGTCCCCTATTATATTTATTGTTAAAATAATATCTTAAAAAAGTAAATTTCTACTAGGGTTAGCGAGAATTTACTACCAAAATTAAATTTTTCTTAGACTAGTGGAAACACTGAGTAAGTTTTTTATTCTTTTATTAATTATTCTTACTCTATTATTATTAAGTTTTTATTATTATTTCTAAAACGTCAAGATGTTTTTTTAAAGATGTTTTTATGCAGTTGGACGAAGAGGAACCAAAGCTTTGTAATAGAATTGGAAGAGCTCGTATAATTCTTTCAAAGATGTATTGTCCGAGTATGTGACTTTCTGGGGGGGGGCGGGGGCAACTGACATCATAAGTTTAAAAAAATAAATGACTGAAATTAAAAATGACATAGAAAAAATTACTTTCACATTAAAAATGACTTAGATATTAAAAATTACTTTGAAATCAAGAATGGCTTTGAAAAAAAAATGACTTCGGCAACTTTATTAATTTGCTTCCACCGCTATATGAAAATTGTCCCCGATCATGCTTCTAATTGCTAAATTAATATCTTAAAAAAGTAAATTTCTACTAGAATCAGCGAGAATTTACTACCAAAATTAAATTTTTCCAAGACTAGTGGAAACAGAGTTAGTTTTTTATTCTTCTATTAATTATTCTAACTTTATTATTATAATTAAGTTTTCATTCTTATTTCTGAAACGTCAACATGTTTTTTAAAGATGTTTTTATAGAGATTTTACTCTGTTGGGGGAATAAATCTCATTGAGAGTCAGTGGGTAACGTCTCTTTAAAAAAAAATACCTCGGTTAAAAATTTATATATTTTTAATCAATTATAAAATAAAACAAACTAAACAATAATGGGCGTCACAAGGGTCCATTTTTGAAATGGACGAAATTGAAATGCACAATCACAACAACCCTCTAAATTTCTCACATAAAAATAAAATTCTTATGTCGGCTAAATATTTGTAAAAAGATTAATTATTTTTATCTCTTTCTCGTGATTGATGCATTTTAATCAATGATGGTTCATATTTTTTTTTATTTGATTGAAGTATTGAGGGGAACTTTTAGAGATTTCTAATTATTGAGGGGTACATATACTCCCCGTTCCCACCGTAAACGACGCTCATAAAACAAAATAAATATCTATTTTAATATAATTTTTCATATAATTTTTTAAACAGAATAATAAACTTATGTACATATTTAAAAATACAACAAAGTAAAACAACTCCTCTCTTCTATGAAATGTCTATATTGCTATAATTTTTACTTTATTATGCGAAGAAATCGTGGTTTGATTGCTTCTTGAAAGACACTTGTATTTTTATAATCAGTTCTCAAGGACTGATCAATTCGAAAGAAATATCTGTTTTAGTTTTTTTTTTAATATATCTAATTAAAATGGTTGACTTACCTGCATAGCTTACTTGTAAAATACTACAAAGAAAAATTAAAACTATCCAAAATAACGAAGGCGCTACCATCTTATATCTTAAAAGCAAAAAAAATTGCTTAAGCATTCATGATTAAATGTAACAGTACGGAGAGAAAACTGGATAGTGTCATCAGACGAACATGTTTACACCAAGATGTTCTAAGACTAAACCAATTTATTCTGAACAATAGGGCAGCGTCCTAGTAGGCCATGGTGACTGTGGATGTCGTGCCATTGTCACCAGGTCTTAAAAAAGAAAAAGAAAAAAGAAACTTGTAATCACGTCGTACAAAACCTTGGGTGTGGTCCTTTTCTTTAGGAGTATACTGAGTGCACGAAAGGCTTCACATCTGTAGAAAACAGTAAAAATTCGCAAGAAAATCTCGACTATTGATCTAGAAAGTTGATGAAAAAGTGTTTAGTTATTCAGATCACGCTCTGTTGGTAGCAGAAGATGGTCCAAAACTCCTCCCCTTGTACATGCAGATTGCTTGAGTTGCTTTAATTCAGGTCGAATAATAAAATTAGTTTCGCGACACAGAACGGAAATCCTATTATCTTCTGGGAATAGAATACTTAATATTTGCATAATTCTATGGAATGCAGTATTTTCTACCTCCCACTTATAACCTATTTAGAATACTCAAGGGACAAAATATCTTAATAAGTGTTTGCGCATGTTGCTATGCATCACTGAAATCTTCCATACTGATTTATTTACTGGGATGTTGATTATTTTTGTGCCGGTGCAGAATGTTCACTTGTATCTGTAGTTGTTGATGATTCAGTAATAAGTATTGAGTTAAACTACTATTTTTGATAATTTTCGGTTCATACAATTGAAGTATTAATTTTAAAAAATTGCTTGTTAAAAATTGACGATTCAACTTATGAAACAACGACTTAGAAACCATCGACAGAGAAATGAACTCGTTTGCAAGAAGTACTCTTTTTCTAATCTAGTTTTATTGTAAGGAAAGGAAGACCACAAAAAACCTCTCAAATTTATACAACAATTGAACTTCTTAAATCCAATGATCACAGTTTTGGCAGCATTCTGATTTGCACAGAAAAACTAATTGCTAAAACTAATATACGTCGCTTGCTACTTGCTCCACTATCACCAACTCCAGTCTTTGCTTCGCTACCACTTTTATTTCTCATCGCAAAATATTTTTTTTAAAAACAAATGTTAATCAATTTACTTTTTATTGTTAATATTGTCGATAACCAACCTATCCAAAGAGGAAATTTGAGGGGAAAGTAACACTCATCTTCAATTCTAGATATTTTAAACTTAACTTCAAATGAGTCAAGTTTTTGGACAAACTCATTTTCTCAGAGTTTTCGTTATTTTTATTCTTATTATTGAAATTACATTTGAAAACCAGGATAATTTATTAAAAAAAAATTAAACGACCGGGAAACATTTAAAAATATGGTTACATGATGCAATTAAAAACTTCAAACGCTTTAATTCCACTACTTAAGGATTTATGTTATTAAGTTTTAATCCCTAGATATTTTATTTACTTCACAAATATATTTTGGTAGGGAAGCATTAGGAAAAACAGTTTTTTTTTTCAATTTCCCACAACCACTTTTTAAATGTTTCCCGGATGTGGCCACTCTCACTTATCTTTGTAAAATAACACATTTGAGTCAATTTATATATAATTTATTAGAGTCATTGATAAATAGTCTTTTAGTATTAAACACACACAGTGATTCATTTCCTACTGACATTATAGTTACAATAGATTGTATGAAAATGTTATTACATTCATTGACTGAACAGTAAAAGTATTGATTTAAAAAATATTGTTCATTTCTTGCTCAAAATTCTTTTTCTTTTTTACATCTTTTTATTTATATCAGACCTGCCATCTTTTATTCTTTTCGAGGATCCCAAGCAGTGGAGGAAGACTAATTGAACTGCAATTGTAGATAAATATTAACTTTTCACAATTGCTATGGTTTATAACTATTTTCGTTTTCATAATTTACTCATATATAAAACATTGATTTATTTAATTTATTAGTAGACAAAATCATATTAAATTAAATTTATAAATCCAAGAATTAAAAAGAATTTATGAGTTTCATTACCATTTTAAATATAAGAATGAAGTACTATAGTACACAGACAATACATAAGCACACCGGACAAAAAATTAGTCACCCTAAGAGAAATCACGAAAAACATCATTTAATAGCATGTAACACCACTTCTGGATTCGATAACCGCCTGGAATCGGCTGGGAATTGAGTTCACAAGGTTTTAAAGGTACGTCAAATCCAATTTAAGCCACTTGCTCAGTATTTGACCGCGCAAATTCACCAAATTGCGAGGATGCTGATTTCGGCGTTTTACCCGATGTTCCAACAAGTCCCACAGATTTTCAATGGGGTTGAAGTAAGGTGATTTTGCAGGCCAGTCGAGATGTATTTAATATCTGAGTGTTCATAAAACCAGTCATATATTCTTCCAGCCCGATGAACTTTGCTGTTGCCATCTTGAAAAATAGGGGTATCGACAACGACAACACACCCTTCATGAAGATGTTGACTGAAAGGCAACATCTAATCACACAGAATATTCAAATAAACATGTTGGTTCATGTTAGTAACCATCTCAGTGAGAGGACCTAATCCATATTAAGAAAAAAAAACCATAGCATGACAGACCCACCTTTGGCTTGAACCTGACCTAGCACATAGTCAAGATGAAATGCTTCATCTGCTCTTCGTTGCACTCGACGACGTGCGTCTTTTGACTGAAGGCAGAAACGTGATTCGTCAGACCATAATATATTCCACCACTCAGCAACTGTCCGCGTTCGGTAACTTCTAGCCCACTGAAGTCGCGCAGCTTTATGTGCCAGTGTGAGCAATGGCCTCTTACGAGATGTTTGACTCCAAATGTTCATTGCATGCAGTTCCAGTCACAATGTTCTCTCCCTAAAAGGTTGGGATGGACGTTCATTTACTAACTAAAGCAATTCCTGTCAGGTTTGGAAGCGATTTTGATTACGAAATCGGGAAGCACGTCTCCGGCCCCTTTCATGCAGGCCCCTTTCATGCTACAATTCTGACGTCGTCCTTCGTGACCACGTGTATTACACCGCTGGTTGTAGACAAGTTGAACAATCCACATCGAAACACCAACAAATCCAGCAACTTCATTCACCGTCAAACCATGGGCATGGCCAAGCACAATTGCCCCTTTTTGCCACTCTATCACATCCTTACACTTATCCATATTTACACACAATTTCCTCTTCAAACAAAAATATCTCACTGATAGCTACTTGCCTTTGATCATGTTGAAGCAGTATGTACGTAATTGAGCACATCACTTGACCACTGCGTCATCTAACGAAATCTAACGATTCATCGGTGCTTGCGCACTAGGGTGACTAATTTTTTGTCCGGTGAGCTTAGTTGTTGGCAGCTGTGTTGTGACGCCGACGAGTTCAACTCAATTTTCGACTGCATCAACATAGTTGAAGATGCTAATATCAGACCTTTGGCTCACTTTTTTACTTCTGATGTTATTCTTACACTTAAAAATATGCACTGAGTAAAAACACACAGATTGTCGAAACGCAGTGAAAGAGCCCTGTAGGTTTGATCAGGACGAGATTAATCCGAGTAATTTTGAGTGTGGAGAGCAACCCGACACGAGTGGTAATAACCAGGACTGTCGGGTCTCTACTTTAACAGAGGTGCACTTTTTGTTAATGAAGTTTATGATCTTAACGTTATTCATTAAGAATATTTGTTAATTCTTCCCACTTTTTGTAAATGTTTCTCCTTCGTGTAATTTTCATTTCCCTACTTGTAAATATGTCTTGAACTTTTCTATACATTCAATTATTTGTTACTTTTTACAATGACAAAGTGCCATTCTTTTTTTTCCTACCTTAACATGTGCCATTATTTGCTGCATTTTATGTAATCTGTGTAACGTTTTTNTTAAGTTGTTTATTTTTATTTCTTTTAGAATTCGTTATTTTTTTAGCTAAATGTTTTTTAACCTAACAGAATTCTTTGCCAACAGATATATGAAGAAAATAAAGTAAATATTTAAGTGTTGTGAAAAGAATCTTATTTAGCTGTACAAAGTACTTCAGCCAAAATTTGGAAGCCACGTAAGAGAATTATATATATATTAGATCAGAAACATATCATTAAAAGGCAGAATGCTTTGGTATTGAGTATAGTTAGGTGCTGCGAGCTCTCTGCTTATCGCTTATAGCTCTGCGTTTCGAATGCTTTGGTGTTTTCAAAACGTAAACAAAACAAAGCAAACGTTGCCACCGGCGGAAAAGAAATACAGCCAAAATTTGGGAGCCACGTAAGAGAATTATATATAATAGATTTTATTCTGTACATACATATCAGCAATTTTTTTTTTTATTCTTTCTACAGTGGATAAAGAGAATTAATTTAAGCAATTCATGGTTCATCTAACATAAAGGCTTATGTTGAGTTACTTACTACTAACTTAAAACGACTATTTTTTAAACTTCTAAGTTAATATGTGATTTTTCTGGCATTCAAGATTTGGTGAATTTCTATTTTCTTTTTTTTTCTCCAGCAATGTCAATAAACTACACTGCTGTCTGTAAGATATTAATAAGTGTAATTAAAGAAGTGTACAAAAAAATTTTTTAGATTATTTTGAAGAATTTAAATTTGAAGAAATTTTTTGGTCCGAATTGTCCTGTTCAAAAAGAATTATATATATATAATAACAGGGCTGCATCCTTGTTATCAGTGTTGTATTTAGCTTGAATAATGCAATCGTAAGCCATCTGACTTTCTTAAAAGGTTTATTTAATGGTAGGCTGGAGGTTACAACAGTTCACATCCACACTCCACAAGGGATGGGGTGGACAAGACATCTGACAATTCCGGAACAGTTTATCAGGATCACAACATGATGACAAGGACACGCAAAAACTAGTGTTCTTGCGTTATATACGAACACAGATTGAGGTAAAAAGGCACAGTCTTGTAACATTACGCATCACCGAAAATCATTTACTGCTTTCTAATATGGAAGTGAAAGAGGAAACGATTCTAAAAATAACTCCTCCTTTGAAATATAAATCTAATTATAATTCAATGGTATGTATTCAGCCTTGAATTCCCAAAATAGAATATCTCTATGCTTACTCTTTAACAAAGACATTTTATGAAACCGAAAGAGTTTTAATTCTTTTATTAATACAAAAGTATTTGATAGCAGAGCATTTTTCTGGTATATATATATATTTATATATATATATANAATCATTTGACCTTTTTGGACATTCTTTCTTTTTATTTTTTCAATGTTCACTTTTACTGAAACATCTTCAACTTTTATTTTTTCGATGTTTACTTTTACTCAAAACATCTTTTTCATCATTTTTAAACT